ATGCAAAAATTTAGATATTGAAAAGTATGAAATAATTGATAGATAGAAATAATTTTTAATTTTATATGGAAGGACCACGTCACGTGGTCCTTCACTGCTGGCCGGATGAGGAAGCTCAAGGTCGCTCATCGAGCTATGGAGAGGGCTATGCTCGGAGTTTCTCTGCGTGATAAACTCAGAAATGAGGATATCCGCAGTAGAACCAGAGTGACCAACATAGCCCAACGGATTAGTAAGCTGAAGTGGCAATGGGCCGGCCATATAGCTCGAAGAACCGACAACCGATGGGGAAGAAGGGTTCTCGAGTGGCACCCTCGTACCGACAGGCGAAGTGTAGGGCGTCCCCTCACTAGATGGAGTGACGACCTGGTAAGATATGCAGGAAGTCGATGGATGCAGGTGGCTCAGGACCGTGCTTTGTGGCATTCTTTGGGGGAGGCCTATGTTCAGCAGTGGACTTGTGAAGGGCTGTAATGATGATGATGATGATGATGTTTTATGGAAACAATTGATAAACAAAATGATAAATTACTGTATAAAATGTTGACGTTTCGTTAATAATTAAATATATGGAGTTAAAAATTTGGTGAGGTTTTGTTGACATCTGATTCGAGAATATATACACTGTAGTCTCACGCCTATACGTTTACACAAATATACATATTATGTTGAACGTGTACTTGGCGTGAGACACTACAGTGTCTCCGGATTCAATCTTAGGGCGATGTATACGCTTTTACAACAAAATTCCAGAAAATATACACAATTTGACCTTTGACGAGAGCGAGCTGCATCTTTGAAATCAAAATTCCTGGCCTAATAACCGTTAAACCACAAAGTTGGCTACTCGTACTGTGACACTGCATTAGTTCCAAAAATTTCACAAATTTTTTTTCGTGGCTTGAGTCGCATTTTCCCTATTTTGTAATAAAACTTCTAAATGTATCGAATTTCTTCGTTGGATTCACTCATTTTGGTAAACATAAAAACAATTGAAAATGCCGGTAAAGTGTTTTTTTTTTTTTTACTATTTACTTATATATTGAAATGTTTAAGTTCTTGTGGTGAACATGGTAACAACATGGCAGGGGGCTTGTTCTAAGATATTATAGGGGGAATAGAGGGGTAAGATACGTTTATCCTCGAATCCGGCAACATATCGTCCACAAGTCTCTCGTTAACAAATTTGTAAAGATTGTGATTATATACCACGAGGGTTGCGTACCTTAAACTTACAGGTTTACGCACGTAATTTGGTACATCCCGATGAGAACATAGAGAAAATGTATAAGGATATCTCTAAAGCCATGCATTCCTGCAATACGATGTTTATGAGAAATTTGGAATACGGCAACGGAACCCAAAGAGCGAGCAGCTGGCTGAAATCACGGAAAAAGAGGATCTCTCTATGATGAACTTTTTCTTCTAGAAGCGGCCCCACAGGAAGTAGCGACTTCATTATGATGACTAGAGAGCAATTGTTGAGTGATGTCTCAGTGATCGCAAGAGTGATAATTGCCTGCAATCATCGAATAGTTAGAATCACGCTGAACTTTAACGTTGGGTTGGTGAGGTCACATCTAATGAAGTCAACGCAACGTCTCTCTTCTGCTCTAATCCGAAATCCCGAAAACATTCAGCTCGAAATACAAAACTATTTACAGTGCCTAGAAGACTGCAATGCTGTGCAAAAGCAGGTGCTTTCAGAATTTACGCCGATAGAAAACCGGTACTTGAAGTCCTTCAGAAGCTGTTTAATTCCATCCTCCATGGTAGGACTACTCCGGAGACATGAAACAGAAGCACGTTGGACTTGTTCTTATTGAAAGGCAAGAACGCTGTCTTTAAGAATTACTGCCCGATTTTCTTTCTGAGCCGCATCTACCTGCTGTTTTAGAGAGTTATTACGAATCATATCGCAAAAAGACTCGACGACTTGCAGCCTGCCATATAAGCCGCTTTTTGAAAAGGCTTTAGTAACATAGACCACATGTATACCCGTCGGAAAATTGTACAGAAGACTGAAGGTACAATCTGACACTTTGCTGTGCGTATGAAGACTATGCGGAAACCTTTGCTTTTTCTTTTTACGACATTTTGATTTTGATTTAGCAGTCATAGAGCCACGCGGCAGTTTTTGCTGTTGCACAGATGGGCCGGCTTAAATCGGCGTGATACCACGACCAAAAAGAATACCAGCGTGAAGTAGATGTTTACTTTTTCGTTTCGCTTGGTTAGTGCAGGTGGCCGGAGGTTCAGTTATCCTCCCCTCTTTTAACATGCTAGCGTAGTTAAATAAGACACTAATCCAGGAGGGTACCAGCACCCCTGGTGTCAGAGTATCCCTCGCTTAGAATCTATGACCAAGACGACCCCTGCCTGCCACGCTATCCGTGAATTTATGAACATCAGGGGACTTTTATTACGTGGTAGAGCCATGCTGAATCAAAGGCTTTCTCATAGTCCACATACGCAACGCAAAGTGGCAGATTGTGATTCCTCTTCTGTCTTCTGTACAATTTGCCGAAGGGTGTATATGTGGTCAATGGTACTAAAGCCTTTTCGAAAACCGGCTTGTTCGGGAGGCTGGAAGTCGTCAAGTCTTCGTGCGAGACGATTCGTAATGACTCTCGAAAATAGCACGTAGACGCGGGACAAAAGGGAAATCGGTCTGTTTTTTTTTTCAATAGAGCGTTATCGCCTATCTTGAAGAACAAGACCACCGCGCTTCTGCTCCACGCCTCTGTAGTAGAACCACCATGGAGAAAGGAATTAAAGAGCTTCTGAAGGACTTCAAGTACCAGTTTTATACCCGCTTTCAGAAGCTCCGCTGTTATTCCATCATTGCCTCGGGACTTGCCGTTTTTAAGGTGCTGGAGTGCCATTCTAATCTAGCTCAGACTGACGTCCGCGATATCATAGGAATAGTGTCGGGTAAGACTCGCTCTTGGATAGTTACTCACACTTGCGTGTGGCTCCAACAATGCCGTGTGTAGCTGCCCATAGAAATTCTCAATCTCACTCAAAATCTCAGGTGTCCCGGAAACGATGCTGCCACACTCGGCCTTCAGCTTTGACAGTTGGCTATTTCTGGAAGACGGATCTCTGGCAAAGACTTTGGAGCCTTGGTTACGCTCGATCGCTTCTTCAATACAAGCTGTATTTAAGCTGAGTAAGTCCCGCTGCATGCGTTTGAAGATCTGTCTGTTCAGTTGCCTGTATGCTGTCAAATCTACTAAAGACTGCAGCTTCATATTCCATCTAACAGCCATGAGATTAAGAGTGTGATCAGAGAGTTTTTGTGTTCTTCTGCGACGGATCTTGCAGAACTTAACTCCGACCGCATAGACCATTTCCACGAGCTTTTCATTTTTATAGTCCACGTCATTGCAGTTTTCCAGGCACTGAAAACGGTTTTGTAACTCGAGGTGAAAGGTTTCGGGATTTTGGATTAGAGCACGAGGGGGACGGAGCGATGACTTCATTAGAGGAGACTTCTCCAACTTAACGTTAAGGTTCAGTGTGCCTCTCACCATTCTGTGATCGCTACAGGTTTTCACCATCGTGATCACTGAACAGTTGTGGTCTGGTCGTCAAAATGAATTCAATATCATTTTTTGTCGAACAATCGGGGTTCGAACAGGTCCACTTCCAGTGGGGCCGCTTCTGGAAGAAAGAGTTCATGATAAAGAATCGCTCTTTCTTCATGAAGTCGGCCAGTTGCCTTGAAGTACCTTGGTTATATTTCGGCACCTTGGGTTCCGTTGCCCTGCTCTGAATTTCCCTACTTTCAACTCACCGTTCTCTCTTGTGCCTAGTTTTGCATTGAAGTCTCCCATTAACACCGTATAGTGGGTTTAGGAGGAATTAATGACTCTAGAGACATCCTCATACATTTCCTTCACCTCCTCATCGGGGTATGCCAAGGTTGGTGCGTAAATTTGTATGACCTTCAGCGAATACCGTTTGGTGATTCTGAGTATAAGGTACACAACCCTCGGCGAACAGTCCCAATCTTTACAACGTTCTTAATGAGAGACTTGTGGACGATAAATTTGATACTTCCTTGGTCGCCCTCCCAGTGATAGAACAAGTTGCCGGATTCGAGGATTACCGTTCCTCCCCCTCTCTTCAGACCTCGGATAATCCTATAATATTCCAGCGCAACTTGTCTATTTATTCTTCCCGCTCCGGGATCTTCTCGTCAGTCCTCAGGGTGCGTGCGTTATAAGTTGCCAAGTCGAGTCGTCGTAGGTGGCAACCTAACCTATACCGGAGATTCTTAACACCCCCTGCCCCGCCGTTACCATGGCCGCCACTGTAGCCAGTAATAGCGGGGCCGCTGGAGACTGGGGGCCGTCTTTTCGTAACTGTTTTCATTGGTGAGTATATTGCCATAGTTGCCACGCTTAGCGAGAGGGTTGGCAACCGCAGTTTTTATTTATTGCTTTATTTCTGTTATCAGGAACATGCTGCTGCCCATCTCCTGCCTGTTTCCTATTGTCGCCTTTTACGACATCCTCGGGAAGATATGGGTTAGTGGATATTCTTAACCGCCACTACACGGTTTTAATTTGAATATATTATAATGCACATTCATTTGAGCGGGCAAAATAAAAAAAAATATTTTATAGTCAGGGTGAGAAACAAGCACACATTTCGTCTGATGGTAAGTTGACACTGTGGAACCTATATTTACTATACTCGATTAAGAATTAAAATATATGAGCGTATTCACCCCTAAGGACTAAGGTAGAATGCCTCCATACCAGAACAAGAGTCTTCGATTCTCTACATTACTGTCCAGCGTCCGTCCGCGGTCAAATCGACCCATTTGTGCTGAATCCAACATATAACCGCAGAGTGGTGTGTAGGCTAAACCATTCCATCCCTTTAATCCCAAGGTCTCGTAGTTCAATCATACACGCCTCCAAAGAAAGTGTTACGATTACATAATCTTTTATTTACAATATTAATATTGCAATCAGTCATTAACTTACCACTTGAAGCAATGAGAACAACATGCAGCTGTATTTTCTGCCCAACTTATCCAAAAGGTATCCGGAGCAAGGTGTGCTGATCATAGCGCTAATAAAGGAAAGGCTACCGAAGAGTGACACCTCGGTTTCTGTCATGGGCCGGTTCAGCGTTGTGTTTTCGGACGAGAAAAGTAGCAGGGTGGAGGATGGCCATGTGTACATTATGCCCAACGTCAGGCAAACGTAGCTCACTGAAATATATCATTTATATGCTTTGTTAGTCTATACTGATATTTAGTAATATTTATATAAATTATATATACAGTGAAACCTGGATAACTGGGACTTTAAGGGATCTGCAAATTTGTCTCACTTAAAGAGGTGTCGTGTCTCAGATATCCAGGTATAAATTTATATCTATCTCATTTACAGAGGGTCCATTAATAGAGGTGAGAATAGAGGTTATTTCAGTTATAGATGTGCAATTATTAAATAAAATAACGTATTTAGGAATCATAATACATAAACATCCGTACAATAGCAAAACCAAACTAAAACTGGAGGTGACTTTTACACAATTAGCCAAGTGATTTTTTGGAATTTTGGGGATTTTTCTTGTAGCATAGGGAATTTGCGGATAGAATAAGAACTAGTAAACAAAACGTTACACATAATATAGTCTCAATAAAATGTTAAAATACACACGCTGTCTAAATTATAGATGTAATTATGACGATAAAATCGAAAGAACTAATCCCAGATATAAATGTTTGTTTTGTCCCACTAACAAAGGTAATTCAGTGCTAAAGTGTCGGGACCTAAGCATAAGTTTCACTAAATATCGTAAATCTAGTATACATCTTTAGTAATAAAATTAATTAATTTTTAACGGAATTAAAAACATAAATATACTTAACCAATTAATTAATGTAATTATCATCAAGAGAATAATTATAGGACAGATGACATCATTGAAATTGAACAAGAATTTAGTTAATTTACTAAGATTGAACTATTGAATACTAAAATAATTCAAAATGTTCATAATTAGTTGAAACAAAACATATTAAAAATATTTCTGCAATACAATATTTTTCCCTGCGTGTAATGTAACGAAGATGAAACCGAAATCTGAGGATGGAATCGATTTGTTAAATTGATCCAGATCAATCTACAAGGTCGGTTTTCTAACCCTTAGTGATTTAACGATTAATCGATCTCAAATAGATATGCCTACGGTTAAGCGATAGGTATTTGTGTTTGAACTCAGACAGATAAGAAATTTAGGGCTCCCACCTAGTAAATGAACGAAAATGAAACGTTTTGGTGGAGACTAGACTACACACTGTGTGTGGAGTAATTTTGTGCCAATATTGTCTACGCATATATATATATATATATATATATATATATATATATATGACTAATAGAAACAACTAAACATGATTCTCCAATAATAATAAGAAGATTAAACTATTAAACAAAGCAAAACAAACAAAGCAGTGGACCTTAATAGGCTGTAACTGTATACATAAAAATTTAACCAAGCAATTAAGATCCACCTAATTTTAGGAGGGCTGAGAATAAGGGTGACAAACGAGCATAGGACCACCTGATGTTAAGAGCATCTATCCTCGATTAAAATACAAAATGCAGATAAATTGTCAACTCTGATGACAAGGATAGAATTCCTCATTTCCAGTTAAAAGGTTCTCCGGTTCCCTACACTCACCACACTAAACATCATCATTATCATCATCATTGCAGCCCTTCACAAGTCCACTGCTGAACATAGGCCTCCCCCAAAGAATGCCACAAAGCACGGTCCTGAGCCACCTGCATCCATCCACTTCCTGCATATCTTACCAGGTCGTCACTCCATCTAGTGGGGTGACGCCCTACACTTCGCCTGCCGATACGAGGCTGCCACTCGAGAACCTTTCTTCCCCATCGGTTCTCGGTTCTTCGAGCTATATGGCCGGCCCATTGCCACTTCAGCTTACTAATCCGTTGGGCTATGTCGGTCACTCTGTTTCTACTGCGGATATCCTCATTTCTGAGTTTATCACGCAGAGAAACTCCGAGCATAGCCCTCTCTATAGCTCGCTGAGCGACCTTGAGCTTCCTCATCCGGCCAGCAGTGAAGGACCACGTCTCAGTTCCGTATGTCATCACTGGCAACACGCACTGGGTGTACAGTCTCGTTTTCAAGTTTTGAGATATACCTGACGAGAAGATGTGCCGTAATTTCCCGAACGCTGCCCAACCGAGTTGAATCTGTCGATTGACCTCTCGGTCAAAGTTGGACTTACGTAGTCGGACTATTTGTCCCAGGTAAACATACTCGTCAACAACTTCGAGCTTAGAGTTTCCAACAACCACCGGCATATGTGTGACATGGACATTAAACATGATCTTTGTTTTGTCCATGTTCATCTTAAGACCTATCCGTTGGGAAACACTATTGAGGTCATTGAGCATAGTGCTTAGGTCGTCCAGCGATTCTGCCATAAGGACTATATCGTCGGCAAATCGAAGGTCAGTGATGTACTCGCCATTGATGTTGATACCGTATCCTTTCCAGTCCAGAAGCTTGAAAACATCTTCCAATGCAGCGGTAAAGAGTTTCGGGGATATGACGTCACCATGTCTTACACCTCTCTGCAATTGGATAGGTTTCGTACTCTGGTTCTGTACTCGGATAGCCATCGTAGCCCTACTGTACAAGCACTTCAACACTTCGATATACCAACAGTCAACTTGGCATCGCTGAAGGGACTGCAGCACCGCCCAAATTTCGACGGAATCAAAGGCTTTATCATAGTCCACATACGCCAGACATAGTGGCAAATTGTACTCCTCGGACTTCTGTACAATTTGCCGAAGGGTATGTTTGTGGTCTATGGTGCTAAAGCCTTTTCGGAAACCGGCTTATTCGAGAGGCTGGAAGTCGTCAAGTCTGCGCGCGAGACGATTCGTAATGACTCTCGAAAACAGCACGTAGACGCGGCTCAGAAGGGAAATCGGTCTGTAGTTCTTCAAGAGAGCATTGTCGCCTTTCTTGAAGAACAAGACCACCGCACTTCTGCTCCACGCCTCCGGTGTAATGCCACCATGGAGGACGGAATTAAAGAGCTTCTGAAGGACTTCAAGTACCGGTTTTCCACGCGCTTTCAGAAGCTCCGCTGTAATTCCATCCTCGCCTGGGGCCTTGCCGTTTTTATGTTGCTGGAGAGCCATTCTAATCTCGTTTAGACTAACGTCCGGGATATCATCGGAATAATGTCGGATAAGACTCGCTCTTGGATCGTTACTCACACTTGCGTGCGGCTCCAACGATGACGTGTACAGCTGCCCATAGAACCTCTCAATCTCACTCAAAATCTCATGTGCCCCGGAAACGATGCTGCCACATTCGGTATTCAGCTGCGACAGTTGGCTCTTTCTGGCAGACAGATCTCCGGCAAAGACTTTGGAGCCTTGGTTCCGCTCGATCGCTTCTTCAATGCGAGCTGTATTGAAGTTACGTAAGTCCCGCCGCATGCATTTGGAGATCTGTCTGTTCAGTTGCCTGTATGCTGTCAAATCTGTTGAAGAATGTATATCTTCATCTCCCGTCTAACAGCCATGAGATTAACAGTGTGATCGGAGAGTTTTTGTATTCTTCTGCGGCGGGTCTTGCAGAACTTAGCTCCGACTGCATGGACAGTTTCCACGAGCTTGTCATTCAAATCGTCCACTTCATTGCTGTCTTCTAGGCACTGAAAACGGTTTTGTAACTCGAGCTGAAAGGTTTCGGGACCCTGGATTAGAGCACGAGGGGGACGGAGCGTTGACTTCATTAGACGAGACCTCTCCAACTTAACGTTTAGCTTCAGTGTGCCTCTAACCATTCGGTGATCGCTGCCGGTTTTCACCCTCGCGATCACTGAGACATCACTGAACAGTTGTCGTCTGGTCGTCATAATGAAGTCAATCTCATTTTTGTCGAACCGTCGGGGCTCGACCAGGTCCACTTCCTGTGGGGCCGCTTCTGGAAGAAAGAGTTCATCATAAAGAGTCCCTCTTTCTCCATGAAGTCGACCAGCTTCTGGCCCCTTGGGTTTCGTTGCACTACACTAAACATAGCAATATCAAACTTCTATTTTACGATAGTATTCTGTGAGAGTGTAGTACTTTCCCGATCAAACCGAACCTTTCGTGCTACTACTATAATAAAATACAGCTTGACTCTACCACATACTCGTATAATACAGGTTGTTAGTTACCCTAAGCTCTTTCTGAAAGATCGGAATAAACGACTCAATAACTATCTGTTTTGCATTTTACTATGGCGCTCGCGGCCAAATGTTCGATTTTCGTACAGAAAGAGTATTGGCATGTAAATAATGGGTAAAAGTGGTAATGCCTATAATATGCAATTTAAGTAGTTTTTATTAAAAATATAGTACTAAATAATTCTGTAAGCTATTGTGACAACGTCAAATAATCAAACAGTCAAACATTACCAATTGCCGTCGAGATCGCTTGATATAGGATTGTCATCTTGCCGGTTGCAAATTTATTTCTTTAAATAATACACAACTTTATTTTATAAAGTAATAAAAAGAGAATAGATTTTTCGTTTAGTTTTTGTCCATTCTCAAGTTTTCTTAAAACACGACTCCCCACGCACTGAAGATCTTATACAAGCCCTTTGTAACACTCGGCCTTCCAACACAGAACTGATTTAAACTGTCTATAGATGAAGATATTTAAAATTTTCTTATGTAAAGAAATATCGTTACGGATTAAGAGAAAAGCCTTAGGAATATACACACTATTAAAAGCAAGCTATTGAAGATGTATATTTACGAATTATTGAAAAGAGACTGTTCACACTAGATAGTAGGACTCACTAACTTCGTAGGAGTCCGTCTGATCAGGTACCATCTCCATACCTATTTCTGTCGCCAAATGGTAGCGTTTGCACTGCTGGGTTCCGGTCCGAAAGATATAGATATAACTTGACATAGTAGTCAAGTATCACCGGTTCATGTTGGTATTACGTTTATAATAATACTAGTTTGTACGAGTACTTTTCTGCCTAAAAATCCATCTAGGTGGGTACCAACACCCTTTTGTTTTTTCCTCTTGCCAAAATTAAGTGAATACATGCTGCATTCCAGTCCAAGGTGTAACGATAATAACAAACTCTGAGGCATTCCACCTTAGTCCTCAGAGGCGACGAAGCATATGTGGACTTCTTTAATTGAAGTTGACTGCAAGCGTCCATGGACTGCAGTAGCCACTTTCGATGGACTGTAACTTCGTGTGGCGCTTCAGTTTTATAAAAAAAATTAAACGTAATATTGTTAATTTATAATCTTAAGTCTGTGTTTATTACATGCTCATACCACGACGAATATTATATTTTTCTTTCTTTCTTCTTTCTTTTATTCTTAATTACTAATACTAGTATGATAAAAATCTGCCTTATTCTTCAAAAGTCCACTGGTGGTTATGGGCCTCTACACGCTTGGCGAACACAGTACCAAACATCTCGTACTTGAGACTCTTTCTCATCGTCGGTCTAGGTATTTTCCGTCTGCTCTAAACGATATATATAGGTATTGTATTGCTACCTTTGGGAAGTATTTAGAACTTTACCCCAGGACAAGGAACAAAATAAATAGACTGTCTTATGCTGCCACCACAAACCAAAAATTAAATAATAATATTATCGTTACATTTCCACTATTAATCTCTACGTTAAAGCATCGCTTTCATATTGCTTTGCGTCTAGTGTACACATGTTTATAAAATGGAGAAATATTTCGCGGGCTTTAAAATGTAATATAATTTTTACGATTTATGTAATCCCTGAAAATGCTTCATAGTTTCCTGAATCTTTGTTTTTTTATTATAATATAGCAACTATATTGCAACAGCCAATCTGTTGTTAAAAAAAAATAAAAAAATAAAGGAGACCCGAGATGCGTTGTTACCTTTAAAATATGTTCGTAGTTACTAAATGTCCATAATTATACTCGCTCTCGTTTTTTTTTTTTTTTTTTTTTTTCGGGATCGGGTGACAAACGAGCACACAGTCCGCCTGATGGTAAGTGGTTACTGTGACCCATAGACATCTACATCTATCCTCAATAAAGACTCAAGATGCAGATGCGTTGTCACCCGTGAGGACTAAGATGGAATGCCTCTTTGCCAGTAAAAAGGGTCTCCGGTTCTCTACACTCACCATACGAAACACAGCAGCGTTAAGCTGCTATTTTACGCTGGTTTTCTGTGAGAGCGTGGTCCTTCCCCGGTCGAACCGACCCATTCGTGCTACAACCATAATATAGCTGCAGCATGGCTCTACCACGTATAAAATGCCTATCAAAATGATTATTGTAGTTGTGCTCGGCTACTTGGCAGAAATAGAAAGGTGAATAATAACCAACTAATATAGAAGCTTACTTAAAACGGACCCCTATATTCTAGCTCTATTGAATGATTATTTTTTGATCAAGCTGAAGTCGCAGTGGGCCAGCTTTATAGGTTCAAAAAACGACAACCGATTGGGAAATATGGCTATCGAGTTACCGCCTCGTTCGTTAAGCAAAGTTCTATAACCTAGTAAAACATGCAGGAAGTCGATGCATTTTGGGGGGGGGGGGGGCATATGTTTATTATTAATTAATATGTGAACTCACGTAAAGCCATGAAATCGCTAAAACATTGGGTGAACTGGGTTGTTGGCTATCTTCCAGCTAAACAGCACAGTTAATTACCAAAGAACTCTTGCCTAGATAACACTTGCATCAGATGGAAGATCAATGATCCGTGCCGCTTGTTCACCCAGTTATAAGCAGTTCAGACAGTGCCAAGATCGGACGAAAAGCTTCAAATCTGAGCACTCATAGATATGTACATATACCCAAGACATTCCATCTACAAGTCCCAGAGGTAGGACTCTGCCAATACACAACCCTTATAAAAATGTTGCATACTTAATATATATTTCGGCTGTTTAGCTTAATGAAGAGTTGTGGTAGCTCTGGGGCTCGGCGCTCGCTGTAAATTTCACAGTAAGCAAGCAACCCGAGTTCGATCCCCACCGGCATCAATGGAATTAATATTTGCAATTTTAAGTGCTGATTTAACACGTGCTTGGCGGTCAAGGAAAACATCGTGAGAAAACCTACATGTCTGAGAAATCATGAAAAATATATTATAATTTTATCCTTCTAAGAAGTCTTACGAAGCCGTAAGATTCTTCTGTCATATCACATAGTCTGCTCTTACATCACCCATGGATTAAAAAAGAATTAGAGGATTCTGTTACGATGTCGCCAGATAGCGTCGTAAACGTATCTTCACTCTACAATAAACGGTGCAAGACCAAAGTTATTTTAAACATCATAACATCGTGATAAAAACCATTAAATTAAATCATAAATTATCATCCTCTCACAAAAACATTATATGCGCCGTAATAAAGATAAGGTTATGAGCGTAAATTCCACGTGCGATGAAATTTCTAATCTTTCCCCGTATTTGTAGAACGCTATTTTATTTACTTTAATTATTACTAAGTACTTAAGTAATAACTAATATCAGATTAAACGCTGATCATGCGATATGAACTAGATGAAAATATCCATACCTATCGTCACCCCATTTTGTCCCGGTTTTTTTAAATATCTTTTGTTGGAGTTAATATGATCAGTGTAGTCTATAAAAACCAAAGTTTGATTTTGATGCAACATGGTACATTAATGGGTATTCTCTTTTTCCTCTGCTACTGATTTAATGATATTTTTTTAAATTTTACATCTCTGTGTCCTTTAATATACCTAATCAGGTCATAAGTATTGTCACACAGTAAAAACTTTTCTTTTAGAATGCTGGCCACAAAAAAGTTTATTGAATTTGAATTTCGAATTGTTCATGCAACTTAAAAGGCAGCAAAATGAAAAATCTGCGTCACCTTAATAGTCACCTTACCTAAGTGAAAAAAAAGAAGCTCATACCGTCCACGTCCTCATGATGGTAAGTGTAGAATTTAAAGACAGATACGTCCCCCCCCCCCAAGAGAACGGGGACAGAAAATGCGTCGTAGCTTGTTAAAAGTACACTTTCCATCAGGTTAAATCTAAGTTTGCTTGTCTCTTGAATAACAATGCCATCATGATTTAAAATCATCAGAAATACGAGTATATGCACACTACTGTGCATTGTATTAAGGTAAAGTTGTCAAATAATAGATTAGACATAAATAAGATTATATCGCGTTTAATTTTAACTCTTTTTTAATTCCCGACGTTTCGGGTGCTTTAGAGCACCCATGGTCACCCCGTAAAAATTAATTTCATTTAATGTGTAGTCTTCGCGTAAATATAAGGAAACATTCTAAAACAGTGGTGCTACAATTCCTATTAATGAAAATAAAACTGAAAAACGAGCTCCCAGTTACCTGACGTAAAATTCATGTTGCGTTACAGATTAGTAAGCTAAAGTGGCATGTAGCTCAAATAATCCATTACCGATGGGGAAGAAAGGTTCTCGAGTAACAGTCTCATACCGTTAAGCGATTGCAACCTTAAACTCGATGGAGTGACGACCTGGTAATAGATGCAGAAAGTTGATGGGTGCAGATGACTCAGGACCGAGTTTTGTGGCGTTCCTTGGGAAAGTATGTTCAACTGTAATCTTGTGATGGGCTGTGACTATGATGATTATGAAGAAGTTCATGCTAAGGTAGAGAGACATTGATATCTATCCTCTGTTAGAACTAAAATTGAATGCCAGTAAACGGGTCTCTACTTCTCAACTCTTACCATACGAAACACAGGATGCCATGGCCGCATCCACTGAGTCTTTGAGCCGTCAGCAGTCCACCTGTCAAACTGTTCTATTGCCGACGGTCTCAGTGAAGGTGTACAATCCGAGCGGCGGCCGCTTAACGGTTCGAGCTCTATTGGATTCGGGTTCCCAACTTAGTGTGGCCTCCACTTGGTTGGTGGGAAGACTGGGGCTCCTCTGGAGCTCTGAATCACGTCCGATGGTAGGTATCAAGGGAGCCGAGCCTCCTGCTCCTAGGGGACAAGCGGAGTTGGTGTTCAGCCCTGCCAGCGAACACCTTCGCATTTTAGTCAAGGTAAATGTCCTCGATGACATTGTAGGGTTTCTCCCTAACGTTTGTATAAATGACAGCGCGGTTCGCTGTGCGTCGGGTTTGAGACCGGCAGACCCTCGGTGGGCCCAACCTGGGCTTATAGATTTGTTACTGGGAGCCGACACGCTGGGAGTCATCTTGTTAGGTGAGATACGAACTCTACAGCCCGATGGCCTGTCAGCCATGTCCACGATATTTGGGCACAGCTTCTTTACCGGTTATGTGGTCTCCTCCCCCTCCGACGGCCGACCCGCTCTCCGTTGTGGGCGTGTCCCTTTCAGTCCCGTCCTTGTCCCGTCCAGCGGTTCTGGGAAATTGAGGAACCACCACATGCGGCTCGAATCAACCCTCTGGACCGTGAGTGCGAGTTGTTCTTCCATAACAA